TATAACACTCTAGGTACCTGCCTGCCTTAGAGTTTGTAGTGGGTGTCATGGAGGTTATCCTCAATGTCCACAGAGCTCACTTCTTCTGTCCTTCAAGATTTTGTTGAAACTACTTTTCCAGGGGCGCCTGGGTGGCTTAGTCGGTTAAGCATCTGACTTTCGCTTAGGTCATGATCTCACGGTTTGTGGGTTCGAGCCCCGCGTCAGGCTCTGTGCTGACTGCCAGCTCAGAGCCTGGGGCCTGTTTCAGTCTGTGACTCCCTCTCTCTCTGACCCTCCCCTGCTCACGCTGTCTCTCTCTCTCTCTCCTATAAATAAAAAAACCCAAAAAACATTTAGAAAACTTACTTTCCCAATGAGGCCTGCACTGGCCACCCTAATTAAAATGACATTCTTGGGGCACCTGGGTGGCTCAGTCAGTTAAGCATCTGACTTCGGCTCAGGTCATGATCTCCCGGTTTGTGAGTTCGAGTCCCGCGTCAGACTCTGTGCTGACAACTGGCTCAGAGCCTGGAGCCTGTTTCGGATTCTGTGTCTCCCTCTCTCTCTGATCCTCCCCTGCTCATGCTGTCTCTCTCTCAGAAATAAATAAAACATCAAAAAAAAAATTTTTTTTAAATGACATCCTTCACCATTTGTTTCCTCTTACCCTACTCTCCTTTTTCTTTAGTCCTCAGTGCTTATTGCCTTCTAACAACATTCTATTGTTCAGTGTGCTTAGGTACTATGTTTATGGTTTATGATCTGTTTCTCCTGAGTAATGTAGATGTATACTCTACGAAGGGTAGGGATATAGACCAAGCATGTATCACCTAGTAGGTTCATGGTAAATGTTTGCTGAATAAGAGAATGGAAAGATACATGAGAACTGGTGATGGTCCTGCAATGGGTGAACTAGGGTATGGGAGGTAGGATGGGAAGAGCCTTACTTTTCAGTATATACCCTTGTGTTCGTTGTACCACATGACTGTGTTAATTGGTAAAAACATAATACAGATTCTTAGGTCTACCAACAGGATCCTGGAAGTGGAAGTAACAAGCTTTACTTTATCTGACATATGATCGTCAGGTAGAGAGGAGTTAGGCAATTTGGCTGAGGTCACAAAGCCAGAATTTAAAATCCATACTTCCCACTCCAGAGCCCTAGCTCTTTTATTATTTTCTTAATGGTTATTCATTTATTTTTGAGAGAGAGCGTGCACGCGAGCAGGGGAGAGGCTGAGAGAGAAGGAGAGAGAGAATCTCAAGCAGGCTCCAGGCAGTCAGCACAGAGCCTTATGTGGGGCTCGAGCTCTTAAACGGTGAGATCATTACCTGAAATCAAGAGTCAGATGTTTAACTGACTGAGCCACCCTGATACCCTTAAGCATGCTCTTAAGCATCATGCCATAGAACCTCTTAAGACTCTAATCAGCCAATTTAATGTAGTATGACAAATGCTAAGTGGAGGTGTTCCAAAGGCGAAGGTTCGCTTCTCTCTGCCATTTCCTATTACAATGAACCCAAGGGATGGTCTCAGTTCTTTTGATATATGAGATTTTGCCTCTATTGTGCATGGCTTGAAATAAATGGGAATACTGGGCTTCTGGGCTTGGGGATGCTTCATGAGAACCTCACGTCAATATAAAGTATTAATCTCAGTCCCTGGATAGTTGGAACTACAATGTTCCTGAATCCTGCACCCCTAGATATCTCGTCTTCTAAAGCAGCCAAGGGGTCTGGAGGATCTGCTGGATGCTTGGGGATGAGGGAGGGGTTTGAGGGCACTTGGCCTTGTCAGAGAATAATGGGGGTATTCCCAGGAGCTATTAAAGGCTGGCTGCTGAGCTTCTGGAACAGCCTTGGCTGGTGGGAGGCCTTCTGAGCCTGGGCCAGGTGGTGGACCCGTCTCCGCTGTTGTAGCCAATAGAGCATCTCCACCTTGTCATGCTTCATCTTGTCCAGGTATCGCCGCCCCTTGAAGGTCACTGGCTCACCAAAGACTGACTCAATCTCCTCCAGGAGGGAGGCCAAAGGGGTCTGCACTAGATCGATCTTTCTGTGTAGGTGGTTACGGAACTGATTCTCCTCCAGGAAGCGACTCAGGCCCATGTCAGTCTTTTGGAAGAAGCGGTTGGGGTCAGAGGCTTGTCGCTCAAACCATTCCAGTTTCCCCATCAACACTTCCCGCAGCTGAATGGGCTTCAGGGCTTGCTCCCAGGCACTCACCAATGAAGGCAGCTGCCTCAGACGAGTGTTGGTGCTGTACTTGATGGCCATGTCCAGCCGATCCTTGTTGGGGACCTCAAGCACGGACCACAGCCGCTCCAGACGCTTCTGCAGATTCAGGATTTTATAGGTTTCTCCTAGGGGGCTGCTCCTCTTAGTTCCTAGCCTGTGCCCCAGCACTGTGTTCCAATCCCACTCTCCTGGCACAAAGTCTGGCTCTTCATCTTCCTGCAAGGGAGGTGGGCGCCGAATCTTTAAGGGCTCTTTGACAGGGGCTATGACCTCCACGGGGACATCCTTTTCATACATTTGGAAGATGACATGGAGGAAGTCTGTCTCCTGGCTGGTGAGGTACTTGAAGTAGTCACTCACAGACAAGGTGGTTTTCCGCCAGTTCATCCAGGAGGCTTTGTTTGACCACTTCTCCCAGCCTTTGCTTGCTTGGAGTGATATGGACAGCCTATCAGAGCTGGATTGTAAAACATTTGCTCCCTGGGAATAAAGTCCAGCTAACTTGGGATTGATGATGCGATACTCTTTTTCTTGATGTAGAAAGGCTGAGGACAGGTAGGTGGACAAGTCTTTATTGGCTGCAGGCTCGATGAGGGGTCCCTGGTCAAAAGAGAAGTGATCAAGAGAGACACGGCCCATCAACTCCTTGTAGACCTCCCTGATGTTATTGCCAACAAAGTAACCAATATCCATTGCCTCAATAAGTTTGGGTTCTAGTTCACCAGCCAGGTGATTGTATAGAACTCCGGCCCCATCAACATGGAAGGAGTCCAAAAAGTTTCTCTCAGAGACCTGCACAGCAGCTGCCTGGACCACAACCTGATTTCCTAGCTTCAAATTAACAGTTACCGGCTGTGGTTGAAGTGGAAGAGATTTGGGACACTGGAGGCCCCACTGCCCAGCGGCTTCTTCCTCTTCGAGGCTCTTCAACATTCTCTGCAGTTCCTCCAAGCGATTTGCTGCAGCTGGGCGGCACGTCAGGGCCCCTAGGAGTGGGGGCAGGCCTGTGTCCAGTGATGAGTACTGAGTCCTCTTCAATTTCATGTTATTTATCATCCGCTTCAGGTCCTCAGCCACTGTGTCCCCTGCCAGTTCTGGTTTGCTCTCTGGAGCCAGGACCAGCGGGGTTAAGGGGCGAGGGGGGAGTGGAGGAAGGCCCAATTCATCTGCTAGCTTCCAGCCCTCCCGCAGAGAGGGCATGGACTGACCCCTCCACAGGGGCCAGTCTCGGAATTGGGAGTAGAGGGGCAAGTGGGAGGTAGGGGGAGCCCCATCGGTGGGAGTCACAGAGTACTTGGGCGGTGACACAATCTGTGTGGAACTGAAGTCGATTTCTCTCTTCTTCTGCATGGAGGACAGCCATTGGAGAGGCTTCTTTTTCTTCTTCTTCTTTTTCAGTTGGGGGATGGACTTCAGTTCCTTCACTGGATCTGGCTCAGGCTCACTGAGAAACTCCTGCGGGCGGCTGAGTTGGATGAGATAGTTCAGGTTGAGGGTGCAGGAAGGTACTTGGGTGAAGCTGCTGCTCTGAAGCCATGGGTTAGGGAAAAGCTTGTAAGCCCCGGTCGGGCCTGCCGCATGCAGCTTGTGCACGCCACGGTGGGCCTGCTCTACCTTCAGCAGGGTGTGGAAGTCGGCGAACAGGCAACGATAGACCTCAGGGCTGGTAAGAAAGATTGTGCAGTCCCTGGCGAGGCTGGCGGTCAAACGGGTGAGCGTGGCTGATTCAGTGAAGACACTTGCGGGGGTGGACATGGTCTTCAGCAGGTTCAAGTAGTGTAAGAAGAGCTGCTCGCTGCTGAGCAGCACGTACACCAGGAGCCGCTTCCGCAGTCTCTGGTTGTTCAAATGGTTCAGACTAGGTTCGGCGGGAGGCTCCTGCCAGCTGCACTTCAGCTCGTCCAGAATGACCTGAGTGAAACGGAGCCGGCCTTCGGTAGGCACGCGCACAGCCAGGCCACTATTGGCCAGCCGCTCCGCCACCTGGCGGCACAGAGACTCCACCGTCAGCCGTGAGACCGGCAAGGGCAGCAGCATCGGGACCTCGGGCGGGAGGCTCTTCTGAGATTTTGGGGATGTCGCCTTGCCGGGGAAGAGAGACAGCGGGCTCAGCAACCGGTGGTAAAATCGCTGGAGCTCGGGCTCGGGCTTATAGGGCTCCATTTTTGCGCTGGCGACGCAGGAGGTCCGGCCACAAGAGGCCAAGAGGTTACTAAGGCAACCAGGGGGCGGGCGGAGGGCCCGAGTGCGCCTGCGCAGTCAGAGCTTGCCAAAGCGCTCTGTGAAGGGGGCGGGGATTACGTGCGCGCGCAACCGGAGGCGGGGCAAAGCGTGGCTTCCGAGGCCCGCCTCTCTGTGACGCAGTTGGAGGTTTGCACCTAAACCCTCGAGCGCTTTAGGTCTTCTGGCAGGTGCCTGGGATGGCTTCGGACCCTGGGGACCGCGGGACTGCCTGCACGGTGAGGGTCGAGGCCTCGTGTGGGAGCCTCTCTGGGCAGAGAGCCTCGGCCCCCAGGGTTAACGCAGGAAGAAGGGAAGGAGGAGGCACCTGGGGCGGGGCCTGGGGCCTCCCCGGAAAACCGCTGGGGCTCTTGGCGTTGACGTTGGATGGTTGGGGTATTGGCCTTGGAATGATCGTGACTGAAAATGAGGGCGCTTGAGGAGGGCTCACGTGAGGACGTTTTCCTAGGCCTTCAGGGCGCCCAGAGGGGAGGGAGTGAAACAGGGTCACGCAGGAGGGGTCCCCAACTCTCCTCAGCCCGTCCCTGCCGCCCTTGCAGCTGGAGTTCGCGGTGCAGATGACTTGTGAGAGCTGCGTGGACGCGGTGCGCACGTCCCTACAAGGGGTGGCAGGTAAGAGCCAGAAAAACCGCGGACAGTCTTGATGCCTCTAGAAGGAGCCGGCAAGTCTCTTAGACCAACCCTACTCCCATTTACAGGTGTAGAAATTGAGACCCAGAAAATTCAATTGAGAATTGACTATTCTCTTTTTCTTAAAAAAATGTTTTTAAACGTTTTTATTTATTATTGAGAGACAGAGCATGAGCATGGGAGGGGCAGAGAGAGAGGGAGACAGAACCAGAATGAGGCTCCAGGCCCTGAGCTGTCGGCACAGAGTCCGACGCGGGGCTCAAACTCAGGAACCACGAGATCGTGACCTGAGCCGAAGTCCGACGCTTAACCACTGAGCCACCCAGGCGCACCCGGAAGGAATATTCTCAGTCATATGGAGACACAGTCAGAGCCTAGAGTGGGATCTGAAGCCGGCCCTGCCAGAGCCCTCTACTGGCTCTGACACAGTGGTATCGCACATCTCAGGTGCCCAGAGAATGAGGAGCTAGGCTGAGGATAGATAGCCCCACCTACAGAGGGCGTTCCCTGGATAACAGGCAGCTCTTGCTTGCCCAACAACATAATCTTGACAAAGCAAACGGTAGCCTTGGCCATGTTCCATGCTAGGCAGCTCCTGATTCTTCCAAGCCAGTTAACTGGTCTGGAGGTGACCTTGCACAATCAGAAATATCTGAGAGGGCAAAGCCACCAGCATGACCCTGGGAACTGCTTTCCTTTGATTCTGTTAAATGTTCATCCAGTCTTTCAGCAGGTATGGAGACACTGTGGGGCTTTCTAGGGAGAAGTGTTGGCAAATGTTTCAGACAGTCTCCCCTCAGGTAACGAGCATGCAAGCATTGCTCATGGAAGAGAGCAGTTCTGGGAGGAGAGGAGATGGGTTCTGAAGCTAGGGCGTGGTGGCGCTTGGCCTGTATAGGGCAACAGCAGTAGGTTGTAGTATGTGCTCTAGGGTCAGACTGTTTATGGCCAGATTCCCCTCTTTGCCACTGAACGGCACTTAGACTTCATGCATGTTACTACCTGGGTCTGTTTCTTCAGCATTTAAACAGGCATAATGGAAACTACTCTTCAGGACTGTCATGAAGAATAAGTTAATACACGTAAAGCACTTTAAAAAAATCTTTGGCATGGAGTGAGAGCTCACTAAATCTTAGAAATTGTGAGAGGATAGGCTTACAGGTGGGAGTCTGATTGGGCAGAGGCATTTGGGGACAGATATTGAAACAGAGAGAGAAAGAGATTTGCTCTCTCCTGGAGGCCTGGGGCTTTGGAGAAGAGGGTTCTGCTCTTCTAGGAAATAAGTGGGAGAAGCTCCAGGCCCAAGGCTCACTTCCTTGAACCCTTGTCACACATCCTAGAGTTCTTTGTGGTTTTATGTTTTCTCTCTTACTAGGCTTTGAGCTAGGGTTTGAGCTAAACAAGGCCTGGCCTGGCCGCACTCTGCACCAGCTGCACTGAATCTTGCTCAGCTAGGGAGCCAACCTTGGTTCAGACCAAGGTCAGGAGTTGAGGAGGTGCATATCACAGGGAACTTCTCACTGGGGCCCTCCCACTTGAGAAGCAGAGAATCAGCTCTTAGGAGACCCCAGAAGACCTACCTGCATGGAAGCCAGTCCATCAGAAAGCCTTGTCTGCTGTATATCTAAAATATGTTCAGAAGTGAGCTTCTCTTTTTTCCATACTTTGGCCTTAATAACGATCCAAGTCATTTTACCTTTCTCTGAACGACACAGGAACCTCATCTTTGGGCTCCTTGTTGCCTCTGTTGCCCACTCCAATAGCTTTCCCATACAAAAGCCAAGGTGATTTTTAAAAATTGTGCCTTGGATGATATCGCTGTCCTGCTTAAAATCCTCTAGAAGTAATAATGTTTGAGAATGTCCCATGGGCCAAGCACTGCTCCTTTAGACCTTTAATATTTCTCTGAAGAAGGTAGTGGTATTATCTCCATTTGCAGATGAAGAAACTGAGTAGAAAACTCAACAGAAAGGTTGAGTAACTTGTCTAAGGCCACACATCTAGTATGTGGCAGGCTCAGAATCCAGGCTCCAGAGTCCACGTTCTCAACCACTATACACTGTGGCTTCTCCCAGTGGCCTCCCATTGCATTAAAATTAAAATCCAGATTCTTTCCTTTTGGGCCTTGTTTGACTGGTCTTCACTTACAGCTTCATATCTAGTTATTCTCTTATTTATTTAAAATTTTTTTTAGAGAGAGAGAATATGCATGAGTGGGGAAGAAGCAGAGGGAGAGAGAATCTTAAGCAGGTTCCACGCCCCATATGGAGCCTGAAGCAGGACTAGATCTCATGACCCTGAGATCATGACCTGAGCCAAAATCAAGAATCAGATGCTTAACCAGCTGAGCCACCCCAGCGGCCCTCTAACTCTCTCTTTACTCTCAGCTCTAGCCACGCTGGCTTTCCTCTCTTGTTACAACATATCAAGGTCATTCCTGCCTCAGGGTCTTTGCCCATGTTGTTCCCTCTGTTGGAATACCCTTGCCTGACTACATTCAGGCCTTCACTTAGAGGTTCACGGAGACCTTCCTTGACCAGCGTAAGTGGCTTGCCCCCGAATTGTTCCCTAACACCTGTTTCACTGATCACACTTTTCACTCTCTGAAACTCTGTTGTGTGTGCATATTTGACAGTTGTATCCCTGCACTGGAACCCATGCCATTTCAAGGATCAGAGTTGTGACCTGACTCGTTCCGTGCTCTGTTTGCACTGCCTGGAACATGGCATGTGGCAGGTGCCCAGTGTATGCTTGTCAAAGAAGGAAAATACACAAAGTTTCTCACACTGTGCTTATCTGAGCCCCCGGAGCCTCAGAACGTCAGCCTTTGGGGCTCAGTCCTACTTCTGGTGGGGCGAGGGGACCAAACATCAGCTTTGGGGTTGGACAGGCTGCCTTCCAGGCCAGTTGAGTCACCCCCTGGCCTCGTCTCCTCACCTGCCAGAGGCGGACAGTGTCATCATCCTGATGTGTGTAAGACAGAGCACAGCTCTTGGTGTACCCTGGAGTCAGACCACAAACATTCTCCCGTTACCCTCCGTGCACCCACTTTGCAGCCATTGGCACCCCAGGGCATCTCTGGGGGGACCCAGAGCTCCCAGCACTTCAGAGGCTACCTGGTGGCTCAGGATAAAATTTTGTTTGAAGTGAAGGCCAGTTTGGTAATTTGGAGGGTGTTCTCACAGTCACCCTGCACTTGCAGGAGAGGGGAAGCGTGTGTCCGTGCGGTGTGTTTGTCTGATGTCTGGCAAATTCTGCCCCTCCCCCGCTCCCCCAGCCGTGTCGCGGCTGCTGCAGGGGATCTGAAGACACAAGCCCGTGAGAGAGATTCCTGTCTCTTGGGTGCTCCCTCCCCCTAATAGCCTTTCCCAGTTTTGTGCCCTGGGCTGTTACTCCCATCTCTGCCTGATGGTTAATCCACACGGAGTCTGGCTCCTGCCACAGCCTGTGAGCTCCCTGAAGACAAAGTCCAGTGCTTTTCCTTTTTTTTAAAATTAAAAAAAAAATTTTTTTTAAATGTTTATTTATTTCTAGGAGACAGAGAGAGAGAGACAGCGTGAGCAGGGGAGGGTCAGAGAGAGAGGGAGTCACAGACTGAAACAGGCTCCAGGCTCTGAGCTGGCAGTCAGCACAGAGCCTGACACGGGGCTCGAACCCATGAACCACGAGATCATGACCTAAGCGAAAGTCGGACGCTTAACCGACTAAGCCACCCAGGCGCCCCAGTCCAGTGCTTTTCCTGACCCTGGCCTCCTCCGTGCCCCACACACACCTGTTCAGAGAATACGGAGGAGGGAAACCAAAGATGAAGGGAAAACCAGTAGTCTGTGTAGCTTTCAGTTCACGGGGCACCAGCTCAACAGGGTGAGACGGCTTATTTAACCTTTGTCTTCTGGACGGCCCACGGCTCCCCTGGGCTTCACCCTGCAGAGCCACGGACACATTTACTAAGAAGAAAGCAGAATGGTGGACATCCTGCAGGTGAAAGCGGCATTCTAGTTCCCAACCCATCACCTGTGCGCTGCCTGAGGGTTTGAGAGCTCTCTTAAAAGGCTTGGGAGTCCCGAATATCTGAATGAAAGAGAAGCCCCTTCTCTTCCTTCTTTGAGTCGGCTCAGTGGTCCTCAGAGCTGGGTGCGTGTCAATCATCCCGCAGTCTGTGTGCACACAGGGTGACTTCAGGGGTTTGGAGGGCACTGGAGACACACTGACTTTGGGACCTGACCCCCGTGGACCACACAGAGCTGCACTCTCAGGGGGATTGTAAGCGGTGCAGCGGGAGTTACTGGGGGGAAGGGAGCTCCTGCGTGAGGACAGAGGAGGGACTGCTTCTCAGGGTGAGCGCGGTGTCTGGGCAGGGTTCCAAAGCAAGGTTGCCTGAGATGAATTCCAGTTCCTCGATTTACCACCCTGTGCATTCAGGCAAGGTTCTTCAGTCTCTCTGTGCAGTCTTCTCATCAGTATATAGGGATAACAGTGCCCACCTCACAGGGTTACATGAGTATCAAATGAGCTAATATGGGTAAAGTATAAAAAAGCCCACAGTGCATGTGTGGAAATGTTAGCTCTCATCATGATGGTGATAGCACCCCCCTTTTATTTTATTTTATTTTATTTTATTTTATTTTATTTTAGAGCACATGTGCACACAGTGGGGAGGGGCAGAGAGAGAGAAAGAGAATATCAAGCAGGCTCTACTCTCAGGACAGAGCCCAACTCAGGGCTCAATCTCTTGACCCTGGGATCATGACCTCATCCAAAATCAAGAGTTGGACACTCAACCCACTAAGCCACCCAGGTGCCCCAGCCCCCCTACTTTTTAAATTAATCTATTTTGAGAGGGGAAGAGAGCAGGAGCAGGGGAGGGGCAGAGTGAGAAGGAGAGAGAGAATCCCAAGCAGGCTCCCTGCTGTCAGTGCAGAGTGAGACTGACACTTAACCGCCCAGCCCCCTCTTTTGATGTGTGCGGCAGTTTTGTTGACATAATTCAAATATCGTAAAATACACCCATTTTAAGTATACAATTCAGTGGTTTTTAATATGTTTAGAGTTGTGCAGCCATCACCACTATCGACTGTACATTTCATCCCATTATGAAGGAATCATACCCTTTGGCCCCCTAGCCCCCGGCCCCTAGTCTATTGTTGCTACAGGTTTCCCTATTTTTGATGTTTTGTCCATAATGGTACATGTAATATGTGGTCTGCTGTGACTGGTTCTCAATATGATATTTTCTGGGTGCATCGCTGTGGTAGCATTAATCAGCCCTTTGATTCCTTTTTATCTCTTTATGGTTGAGAAAAATTCCATTGTATGGATGCACATTTTCTTTTCTTTTTTTTAATATTTATTTTTGAGATAGTATCAGTGGGGGAGGGACAGAGAGAAAGGGGGAGACAGAGGATCCGAAGCAGGCTCCATGCTGACAGAAGTGAGCCTGATGTGGGGCTTGAACCCACGAACCGTGAGATGACGGCTGCACATTTTCTTTATCTATTCGTCAGTTGATGGCCATGTGGGTTGTTTTCTCCTTCGGTCTATCATAAATAATGACATACTGATGGCCCACTTTTATAAAAACATCTTAAATAATTACCTATCTTAAGTTATAAATAACTCCTGGCATGTAACAAGGACACACAAGAATCCTGGGGGTAAGGTTGCTTTATCCCACTTTATTTATAAAGCCACAGACTCAGAGGTTGAGGCCCTTTCAGAGCCAGCAGGCAGCTTCTGAGCTTACCTCCAGCCATGGGAAGGTTGAAGATGAGAATGGGGAATTACCACAGGGTGTCAGCCCTCTGCTGCCCTCTCCCCCCTCTCTCTTCCCAGGTGTCCAGAGTGTGGAGGTGCAGTTGGAGAACCAGATGGTCCTGGTGCAGACCACCCTGCCCAGCCAGGAGGTGCAGGCCCTTTTAGAAGGCACAGGGCGGCAGGCAGTGCTCAAGGGCATGGGCAGTGGCTTATTGCGTGAGTAGCTGCTAGGGCCCCGGCCTTGGCTTCCCTGGGAGGGAGGGGGCCTGGAGCTGGTGTACATCTAAACCGTAGGATTTGGGAGTTTGGGGTTCAAGCGGCTTTGGGGAAGGCATGCAAGGTATGTGGGGCTCCCTCCTTGCCCTTTCTGAGCTGATGAAGGTGTGCGGTGGAGGTGACGAGCCAGCCTGGGTGTCTGCTACCTTGCAGAAAATCTGGGGGCAGCAGTTGCCATTCTGGAGGGGCCTGGCCCTGTGCAAGGGGTGGTGCGCTTTCTACAGCTGACCCCTGAGCGCTGCCTCATCGAGGGGACCATTGATGGCCTGGTGCCCGGGCCGCATGGACTCCACGTCCATCAGTTTGGGGACCTCACAGGGAACTGCAGCAGGTAAGTCCCCTGTAACTTCCCCAGTGACATCTTCGTTTCCCCAGCTGTGCACCCACCATGGCAGAGGCTGTATTCAGCCATCTACACATGCTTTCACGCTCGTTCCTCGCAAGTACTATAAGGCATATATACACAGACCCAGTGTACAGATGAGGAAATGGAGGCTCAGTCAGAGGCCCCAGGGCATGTACATGGTAGAGTGGGATTTGAACCTTGATGTTCCTGCTCATAGCCACCTTACTGCCTCTGAGAAGGAAGTAACTTCTGCTCGACACAGAAGGGCAGGTCGCTATGTCGTGGTGTTCATCATGCTGTGATGCAATTAGTTGCTTACTCATCTGTGTCTCCCCAAAAAGTTTATTGAGGGCAGGACCCACATCTGATTCCTCTCAGTGCCCTCAACCCAGAGCCTGTTACAGAGTGAGCCTGTTTGGTGAGTGAGTGAGTGAGTGAGTGAGTGAAATAGAGAGGATGGATCGCCTGGGCTGCGAGCCACTGTTTTGCCGCCCACCTGCTACCTTTCCTTCTTAGCTGCGGGGACCACTTTAACCCTGATGGAGCATCTCATGGGGGCCCTGAGGACTCTGACCGGGTAAGTGTCCATCTGGGTGAGGCTTAGGCTGCCGGAGGGCCCGAGGCCTCAGGCAGGGCAGGCTGCTCCCAGGGCCTTAGCGTATGATTCCTTTTTGGTGGGATCCCTTCACTTTACTTCCTTCCGTTTAGAAACATTGACCCTCTCTGTGGTTGAGGCCTGCCCCCCAGGAGCTCACAGTCTGGTGAGGGAGACCCTCAATGACCCCGTGGTTGCAGGGCAGTGAGATGACCCTTGAGGGAACCTGTGGGAAGCCCCAGGAACCCAGAGCAAAAACCTGATCCGGCCTGAACCTGAGGGCATGGGAGGTGGGAGAAAGCTTCCTGGAAAGCTAAAGGCGTGGAAGTTGAAGGTTTTGCCCGAATGAAAAAGGCCATTCCTGATGGTGTGACCCCCAGCCTGGAGTTTTCATTTTTCACCAGAGAATTGTTGCTCGTCGGCAGTGAGCTGCATGCTGCCTTGGTTTTTGCTTATCTGAGTATTACTTGTTCTGTTAGTTATTCCACATTTTCCTGTAAGTTAACGCCGTTTTTTTCCCTCAGGTAAATTTGGTTGTTTTTAATGCTATAATCTATCACGGAAACTTTCAAACATTCCAAAGGAGAGAAACTTGTCCCAAACTCCCATGTCCCCATCACCCAGTTTCAAGAGTGACCAACTCATGGCCAGTCTTGTTGTTGTTTTTTTTTCTAAATGTTTATTTTTGGGAGGGAGAGAGCGAGAGTGCATGCGCACAACTGGAGGAGGGGCAGAGAGCAAGGGAGACACAGAATCCAAAGCAGGCTCCAGGCTCTGAGCTGTCAGCACAGAGCCCGACGTGGGACTCAGACTCACAAACTGAGATCATGACCTGAGCCAAAGTCTGACGCACAACCGACTGAGCCACCCAGGCGCCTCCTGGCCAGTCGTTTTTCATCTACACCTCCAGCCTTTCTCCACCATTCTTTTGAAGCAAGTCAAGACATCATTTCATGTAATTAAGGCCGATTTATTTTTAAAAGAAACCTGATACTGCCACAGAGAATAGAAAATCAGTACTTGTAGCCCTAAGAGCAAGGTCATTGTAAAAATGACCATTGTAAGCCAAATAAATTAAGTGGAGTCCTGCTGGGTTCTGGCCTGCAAGGTCTGAGAACTGAGGAAGGGCAGCTTTTTCTCCTTTATGTGGAGATAAGTGAATGTTAGAGAAGATGGTAAAGACTGAATTAAACCTTTGTCCTGGGTGTCATCCACTTGATGATTGCCCTCACTCAGGAATTTAATGTTTCCTAATGCCTGGTCACATCTCCTTCACTTCTGGGGTATGTATTCCCTCTGCACTTGGAGATTCAGTACCAGGGCAGGCTCTGGGGCCGGGGCCTGGTCCCTATCCTGGGAACTGGCAGCCCCTCTTTACACCCTCCCCGGGCTCACAGGCTTCCTTGATTTGTAATTTCTCTCTGGTGAAGGTTTGCAGCCTTCTGCCACAAACCAAATGAAGCTACTGTACATGTTTCTTAATTCATGTACCTGATTTCTTGGATTTTTGACACCTCTGTTACATTTCCGGTGCTGAAAAGTTTGACTCCTTTCCCTTTTGCCCTGGGAAGCTGCAGAAGCGTCTCTGTCGGGTCCACTGCGCGGCGCTGTGTTCGCGCTCAGCGTAGCAGTGATCTATCACTGTGAATCAAATCATTCCCACCCTGGGGGTTTAAAACAGCAAGCATTCATCATCTCCGTTTTGGGGCAGGAACATGGGTACAGCTTAACTGGGGGCCTCTGGCTTAGGGTGACTATAACCAAGGTATTGGCTAGGGCTGCAGTCATCTCAAGGCTCATGTCATTGGCCGGCCTCAGGTCCTCCCTGGCTGTTGGCCAGAGACATCAGTCCTTTGCCACGTGGGCCTTTTCCTAGGGCAGCTCACAAGTCGGCAGCCGGGCTTCCCCCAGAGCGAGTAAGCGCAAGAGGGCGTCCAAGAAGGAGCCGTTCTCTTTTTTGTAACCTAGCCTAGTAAGTGATGTTGGTCCAGCGCACGCGCAGTGGAGGAACCCACAGGGATGTCAGTACAGGGATGCATCTTAGAGGCTGTTGTCCCCCTCGAGCCTTGCAAGGTGCTATGCAGGAGTTAAGCAGGTGAAGAACAGAGTGGGAATGTGAGGCCCAGCTGGCGGGGTTGGGGGACACTCTGTAGGCAGAGCCAGCGGGGAGCATTTGGGAACTGGCAGCACTGTGTCTCTTAGGAAGTGGAGGCCGGAAGGGTGAGAGACCCCCCCTTGTGGCTCTGCTGTAGGCCAGGCCTCCTCAGGGCAGGGGGTGAAAAGGGGCTGGGCCCAGCTGCTCTACTGTCCGCAGGTCCTTGATAGAGAGAGGGGAAGACTTGAGCCAGAGCTGGGCTGCCAAGGCTGCCATGATGACTGATAAGTCCCTTTTGGATTTCTGCATCTGCTTTTGCCCAGCTGGAAGTGAATTCCGTGTGGGGATTTACACCAGAGCCCGGCTGTCCCTTTGCACCTCTCCTAACTGGTCCTCAAGCTGCCTTCCCTTCTCCCGCCTGCCTGCAATCCTTGCTTTTCCCGCGCTGTGCTAGAGGCTGCTTCCCATACCCCTGTCCAAAGTCCTTTTTGGCTCCCCAGTACCTAAGGGCATAGGCCCTGCCAGGCAGCTTGGTATGACATTCAAGGCCCTGGGGCCCGGTTCCACTTGCCCAAGGGCAGGGGCAGGAGCAGGCCATGCTGCTGGGGCATGCCTCCTGAAGGGCACTGCCAGGCCGCTTGCTCTCTCAGCCTAGTCCTGAAGATGCTCCTCAAGGCTCCGTATCACCTCCCCTTCCTTGATCTTTCTACTATAAAGGCCCGCCAATGCAGGATAACAAAAAAAAGTGCCCGGTGTAAGCAGATGTCTCCCTGGAAAACGAGATAAAGCAAAAGTGGCGCTTCCTGCTGCTTGTCAGCCCTGTCCCCCAGTGACCTGCTCTGTCACCATTCTTCACAACAAAGCCACGTGCACCAGCCCACACTGGCACAAGCACTTGCTCCTGCCTACCGTGTCCGGTTGGGGACACATTTATTTGCACAGACGTGGGCCTCCGTGATTTACCAGTAAGGTCCAGTCACCTGAAAACCTGCTCACTGCTGTACTAACACTGTGTTTCATAATTGCTAGTCTGTTCGACGTCTGTCTCCCTGCCATGCTTCGAGCTCTTTGAGGGTGAGGGCAGCATGTGCACGCTACAGCACGCCAGCAAACTGTCTGATGGAGGAAGTGCTTGGTATATGTGTTAGGACATTTTTTATTACCTTCCAAGGGAAAAGGTAGGCAGAGCCAACTTCTGGGGGAGGGCAGGTCAGGCTCCTTGCTCCCTGTGTTTCTTCTCTGTGTTCCTGGAGGCTGGGATTTGGGGAACGGTGCTGGCTGCCTCCTGTGGTCAGGAAGCCAAACCTGGCCAGCTTAAGCCCTGGGGAATTGCATGCAGCCCGCCAAGGGCTTGGAGTCCACAAGAGGCTGGAGAACTGGGCTTGCAAAGAAGCGGGAACCAGGCCAGCTTTTGAGGTTGGGTTGCAGGGAGGGTGACAGCCTCGTAGAAGAAGCAGTCTGGTCCAGTGCGCATGACTTCCTAGGAAGGGGGCCGCTGGCCAGGATTTCAGTCCCAGGGAGGGAGCATCTGGTTGCCATCCTTGTGTCCTGGGCCATCCCGTATCTTACCAGACTGCACCCAGAGGAGGACACTGGTACTTTTAGGGAAGGGGAATCAGGTAGTGGGAAGCTGGAAGCTGGCTGCTGTGCCCCCTGTCCCCCTCTCCTCACCCCCATATCCCACCGCAGCACCGAGGAGACCTGGGGAACGTCCACGCTGACACTGATGGCCGAGCTGTCTTCAGGATGGAGGATGAGCAGCTGAAGGTGAGGTGGAGAAGAAGGTGGGGACCTTTCCCACCAGGCCCGCTGTCTGAGGCTCTTATCTGCCCTCAAAGGTGTGGGATGTGATTGGCCGAAGCCTGGTCATCGACGAGGGAGAAGACGACCTGGGCCGGGGCGGCCATCCCTTATCCAAGATCACAGGGAACTCGGGAGAGAGGTGAGTGACGATGCCACCCCCAGCAGGAGGCCAGCGGTGCACGGGCAGCCCCCCCCCAACCGGGGGGAGACCAGACCGGTTTCCAGTGCCCGCTCCTGACCACACATTCTCCCTCAGGTTGGCCTGTGGCATCATTGCACGCTCCGCTGGCCTTTTCCAGAACCCCAAGCAGATCTGCTCCTGTGACGGCCTCACCATCTGGGAGGAGCGACACCGGCCCATCGCTGGTGAGGGACGAAAGGAGCCAGCCAAGCCCTCTGCCCACCTCTGAGCATGGCCTCAGCCTCGGCAGCGTGACTGTGCTCCCAGCTGAGCACCTCTACCTGCAGAGAGAGGGGAGGGAGGCCCCGCTTGCCCAGTCCCAGCAGAACTCGGGTACAGGGTGCGTGGGGTTGCTGCGATGGTCCCTTGGCAAATTAAAGTTTTATTTTCATATAGAACTTTGGCTTTTGTCCGTGTCCCAACAGTGTCCCTTTATGGACTTGGTAAATAGTCCCCTTACCAATCTCCCTTTGAGGACCACCTCTTACCTTTGGATTCAAAACTGGATTCAAATCCACACACTTCCAGAGAGCTGCGCCCTCCTCCCCAGGGTCAGTGCAGGGCCCCAGCACTCATATTCCCAGCAGGGCAGACGCTGTGTTAGTTTCTCTCCGTGGATGGACTTGTCGCAGAGGATTATGGGGGTTGTGGGCGGCCCTCTTCTCCCTGCCTCATCAACCGAGTGTCAGAAAAAGCCGTCTGCAAGGAGAGGGATGAGGCAGAGGCACGGGGAGAGCCTGAGAGCTGTTGGATAACCCCAGACGCTCGAGTCCCCATGCTGGGCCTTGCCTGTGGCTGGCTACTTCCACACCTGGGGACCAAGAGAAACTCCTGGATTTTCCTAGTGCAAACCCCCCCACCCCACTTTTTAAATTAATCTGGCTTGAGTTGATTTCTTTACTCACAAGTAAAAGACTTTTTTTTAAAAAAAATTTTTAATGTTTATTTATTATTGAGACAGAAACAGAGCATGAGTGGGGGAGAGGCAGAGAGAGAGGGAGACCGCGAATCCAAAGCAGGCTTCAGGCTCTGAGCTGTCAGCACAGAGCTGAACGTGGGGCTCAAACCCAGAAACCATGAGATGACCTGAGCCAAAGTCAGATGCTTAACCGACTGAGCCACCCAAGCACCCCAAGACTCTTAAGATAATAAGTGAAGTGCTTGGCGCAGGATGCGGCACACAGGAGGTTAAGGGAGCGGTGGCTGTGCACTTGCGGCCACATGGGGCCCCCGGAGGCCGCCCCAGGCAAGCCCCTGCTCTCACAGGGGTGGCTCGTGTGCGAGGACTAGTGTGTGGGGCTAGGGAGTTGGGGCCTCCCCACTTATCATGTCCCCCCCCCCCCACCAGAGCTTGTCATGCTTGCTCATTCATGACAAAACTGTTTCTGTCACAGTGGCTGTCAGAATACAAACTTTGTCCCTTCCCCTGCCTGCTCAGAACTGGGTGGGCAGTTTTACAGTTAGCCGGCCCTGGCTGAGATGTGCCTGGCTCTGCTCCCACTCCCCGGGCCTTGCCTGTTCCTTGGTCACAGCTGCTGGCTTTGCCTCCAGCCCTTGAACCTGCTCGCTCTTGTCAAACCTCCACTGGTAGCTTTTTGATTCCTGGGAACCACCTTTTAATCATCGGGCCCGGGGTGTCTTCACACCCCCCACCCCAGACCATTGCAGGAGCTGCTGTTGGATGCTGCACACAGCCAGCCCATGACCTCCACCCTCCTCTGGAGCGACAGCTGGAGTTAACCCTTTTGTGGCTAAACCTCTTAGTAAACTGAAGGAATCAATACCCCATTAGCTTTTCTCTCTTCTAAACTTTTTTTTTCCTCTTCTAAACCTTTAAGCATGTAGTAAACTTTGGTTTTAAATCACAGAACACTGTTCAAACATCTTGCAAGCCCGATGGTGAAGCATATACAGAAGGGCGGCCAGAGATGCTTAGCCCTGACCAAGGCCTTCCCCAAAGTCCTGGGGCTCCTGGGAGCACAGTGTGAAAATCTTTGCCAAATTCAGTCATTTTTGTGTGACCCCCTCAATCCCTGCCATGTGCACAAACCATTTGTACTGTCATTTACCAGGTACTTTTTAAACATTTTATCCACTTTTAGAGGCACCTGGGTGGTGCAGTGGGCTAAACGTCCAACTTCGGCTCAGGTCATGATCTCATGGTTTGTGGGTTTGAGCCCCGTGTCGGGCTCTGTGCTGAGAGCTCAGAGCCTGGAGCCCGTCTTCAGATTCTGTGTCTCCCTCCCTCTCTGACCCTCCCCTGCTCATGCTATCTCTCTCAAAAATAAATAAAACATTTAAAAATTTTTTATTCACTTTTAAACTTAATTTAAAAAAATCATATTAGGTAATACCCATATAGTCATTATTAAGTCCTAGGCTCTTTTCTAAACATTTTACATGCAATCCGTCACTAAATCCTCAAGAAAATACTACACGGTAGCTTCTGTTATTATCCCATGTTACAGATGAGGAAACTGAAGCACAGAGTGGTTATGTCACTTGTGTAAGGTAAGGTCGCACAGCTAGTAGTGTGGCAGAGTCAGACTCAGGTGGTCTGGCTCCAAGTCTATACTCTTAACCATTCTATCGATTCTCTTGGAAAGTATGGAAAGTAAGACACATTTGTCATAAATAGAAGATTGCTAGAAAAAGAATGTACATACATAGTAGTTAAAATAAAAATTGTTCATCCACGAACTGCCCTGACATTGTGTGTAACTTCAGTGGTTTTGCACTGCATTTTAGGGAACCCAGACACTTTCATTTTTTAAATGTTTATTGAGAGTGCACAAGGAGGTGGAGGGGCAGAAATAGAGGGGGAAAGAGAGAATCCCAAGCAGGCAGTGCAGTGCAGAGCCTGAGGTGGGGCTCAAACTCACGAACTGTGAGATCATTTCCTGAGCTGAAACCAAGAGTCAGATGCCACCCAGGTGCTCCGAACCCAGACACTCTCTTTTGCCCCCTGTCTGGTCAGCCATCATTTATGATTTTTTCCTCTGCCACAGCTGTTTTCTCAGTGGTGCCCTACACACAACCGCATTAGCCATGTCTCTGGTCTCTCCCTCCCTCTTCTCTCTGGGGAACCCCTTCTGGCAATCCCATTCATTCTGGGATTCCGTGTCGTGGGTTTGCAGAGCTGTGAATATTTCAGGAAACTTCTGTTTTCCCAAGTATGAGACCTTCTCCCCAGCTGAATCCCAGCCGGGGGGGGGGGGGTGCCCGTGGGAGTCCCTCTTCTCAAGGACTTGGAAGGTGCAGGTGGCCTTCCTTGGAAGAGATGGGGCTGTTTCCGAAGGCAAGTGCAACTCTGGCTTCTGAAAATCCTTCTCCCTGTTCCTCTTGTCTGTCTTCTCTGACTTTTCCATAACCAGTGGCTCTCAGGTGAGGGCTCTTGTGGTCCTTGGGCCAGCAGCAGGGGCATCATCTGGAAAGGTTTGACATGCAAATTCTGGGGCTTCACTCCAGACTTACTGAATCAGAAACTGGGGGTGACGCCTGGAGATCTGTTTTATTTTATTTTATTTTATTTTATTTTATTTTATTTTATTTTATTTTATTTTATTTGTAATTCTTTTTTAAATTATTTTTTAAAATGTTTATTTTTGAGAGAAAGATGGAGCGGGAGTGGGGGAGGGGCAGAAAGAGAGAGGGAGACACAGAATCTGAAGCAGGCTCCAGGCTCTGAGAGATCAGCACAGAGCCCGATGGTGGGGCTCGAACTCATGAACCAGGAGATGGTGAGCTAAGTTTGAAGTTGGATGCTTAACCAGGGGTCCCTGGAGATCTGTTTTAAATGCCTTCTAGGTGATTTTGAAGCACACTAAAGTATAAGGGCTTCTGGTCTCATCTTAAAAAAAAAAATGGTTAGCTTAGGGCCTGGTGTCATTTAAAAAATGGTTAGCTCAGGGCTCTCAGAGCAGTGTGTCTGCTTGCTGTTCCCTCTCGTGGTTTAGGAGCAGAGTCCAGGATCTCCTCCAGCCCCCAAATACCTCTCCTCAAATGTAAACACCTATATGATACCCACTTCCAAGAAGGACTTGGTGTAGTTAGAGAGGAGATTATACCTAAAAATCTAGGTGAGTGAAGCACCATTATAGAGAGGGCTCAGCTTTAATACCAAGAGGAGAGAACTAAGGGTTCCCATGGCCTCAGCGCCTACTAATACCACTAACAATTCCAGTACGAAAGAACTGTCGCTGGGTTTATGATGCACATAAGTGATATTGGTGCGCTAAAAAGACTGCTAGTGATTACTTTCTAAAAATAAGTGACCGTTGGGGGCACTTGGGTGGCTGAGTCAGTTGAGCATCTGACTCTTCACTTCGGTTCAGATCATAATCTCACAGTTCTTGAGTTCGAGTCCCGAGTCTGCGTTGACAGTGTGGAGCCTACCTGGGATTCTCTCACTCTGCTCCTCTCCCACTTGTGCTCCCTGTCTTTTTTTTTCCCTCTCTAAATAAAACTAAACAAAGAATTATTGTGATTGGCTGATATTGGACCTTAATGTTACCAGATCGTAATCCCTGGAAGCTGTAAATTGACTTTATTTGGGAAAAGAGTCTTTGCAGATGTGATTAAGTTAAGCATTCTGATATAAGGCGGTTATCCTGGATTATCTGCGTCTAGACCCTAAATGCAAGCACATGTATCCTCACAAGAAAGAGGCAAAGAGGTTTTGTTCTGTTTTGTTTTGTTTTTCAAGTTTATTTATTTATTTATTTTGAGAGAGACAGAGAGCTTGCAAGCAGGGAAGGGCGGAGAAAAAGGGAGCAAGTCCCAAGCAGATTGGGCAAACTCAGTGAGGAGCCAGATGCAGGGCTTGAACTCACAAACTGTGAGATCATGACCTGAACTAAAATCAAGAGTCGGATGCTTAATGGACTGAGCCACCCAGGGGCTCCCAAAGAGAGTTCTGATATGGAGAAGGAGATGGGAAATTAGATGATGCTGACTCGGAAGATTGAAATGATGCAGCCACAAGCCCAGGAATGCCCACAGCCCCTGGAAATTGGCTGGAAGAGATGAGGAATGGCTCTCCTGAAAGTCCCAGTGGGGAGCAAGGCCCTGCTAAGGACATTGTCCAGTGCTATTAATTTTGAATGTCTTGCCTCCAGAACTGGGAGGGAGGGGCGCCTGGGTGGGTCAGTCGGTTAAGCGTCCAACTTCGGCTCAGGTCATGATCTCACGGTTTGTGGGTTCGAGCCCCACATCAGGTTCTGTGCTGACAGCTAGCTCAGAGCCTGGAGCCTGCTGTGTCTACCTCTTTCTCTCTGCCCCTCCCCCACTCATGCCCGGTCTTTCTTTGTCTCAAAAAAACCCACAAAAACACAGAACTGGGAGAGAATGAATTGTTGCTTTAAGTCACGCAGATTGTGGTGATGTTATAAAGCCACAA